GAGAGAGAGAAAGAGAGAGAGAGAGAACGAGAGAGAGAGAGAACGAGAGAGAGAGAGAGAACGAGAGTGAGAGAACGAGAGAGAGAGAGGGAACGAGAGTGAGAGAACGAGAGAGCGAGAATGAGAGAGAGAGAGAACGAGAGAGAGAGAACAAGAGAGAGAGAACGAGAGAGAGAGAGAGAGAGAGAGAGAGAGAGAGAGAGAGAGAGAGAGAGAGAGAGAGAGAGAGAGAGAGAGAGAGAGGCTTAGTCCTTAGCCTCTCCAGCCCTCTCCAGCCTAGTATAAAGGCCCTAGGATCTTCTCCTAGAACCTGATTATTCATTTCAGCGCTCGTGTGCTCTCCTAACCGAGCGGCAGAGAGAGGAGAGAGAGAGAGAGGCTTAGTCCTTAGCCTCTCCAGCCCTCTCCAGCCTAGTATAAAGGCCCTAGGATCTTCTCCTAGAACCTCATTATTCATTTCAGCGCTAGTGTGCTCTCCTAACCATCTGCACGCCTTGGTCAATACCATGTTAGGAGGAAATTTGCCGGGCCCGGTCGCAAAAATTCTGACTGCGTCATGGCTCATAGCTCTGGCCAAACCTGGGGGAGGAGCCCGGCCAATCGCGATAGGCGAATGTTTGACAAGGCTGACAGCCAAGGCAGCCCTGATAGCCATGGGTGAAGCTGCCCGCGAACATATCCTGCCAAATCAGTACGGCGTGGCAGTGCCAGGTGGAGCAGAGGCGGTAATCCACGCAGCCAGGGAATTCTTGGATGCTCGTCCCGACAGCCTGGTCCTGCAAGCCGATATTTCAAACGCATTCAACAGCATTTCGCGACATGCCATCGCTACTGCGTTACAAGAGCCCGGACTCTCGCCTCTGCAGCCGTTTGTGAAACTGACCTATGGTAACCCGTCGCAACTACTCGCCAATTTCAACTGCGAACCGCTGCAAAGTGAACGGGGCGTTCGGCAGGGGGACCCCCTAGGCCCGTTACTGTTTGCAGCAGGGATACACCCCGCGCTCTGTGAGATTGCAGAGGCACTCCCGGACGTGCTTTGCTTGGCGTATGCGGACGACGTGACCTTCCTGGGTGACACATCGTGCACTGTAGCAGCTTTCACAGCCAAGCTAGCACATCTGGGCCTGACGCATAATCCGCAGAAATGCGCGGCCTGGAGCTCAACCACAGTCACACCAGCACAACTCCCGCCCGGAGTGCCGTTTTCTAAGGACAGAGTACGGCTTCTGGGTAGCTGCGTGGGGACGGACGCTGGAGCAGCCAAGCTCCTATTGGGACAGCTAGACGAGATGGCAAAGCCGTTACCGCTTATAGAACGTGCTGACCCCCAGGTAGCCGCAGTGCTCCTCACGCGATGCATCTCCAGACGAGTAGCCTACCTCATTAGAACGACACCGCTCCACCTACTCCCCCGTGACACCTGGAACCAGTGGGGTCGGGACCTGCTCGTTACCTTTACTCACCTCATGCGACATCCGCCTGCCAACGTGTCGCACCGAGCAAGCGCGTGTGTGGGAACAGGCGTCGCTGCCCACGTCGCTAGGCGGCATAGGCATTACAGACCCGCTCATAGAAGGAGTCTACGGTTTCACCCAAGCGGCGCTATTCCTGTCCTCCCTGGCGCTAGAACCAGAGAACGCTTTGATGACCACTCGGAACCATATGCTACTGCCAAGGGATGACAACACACCGACCCGGAGTGCGAAGCGGCCCTGCCGATAGACGCGCGCGAGATCCTGGAGAAAGAGCGACTGGAGCGATCGTATATTAGGCTACAACACGTGCTCGGGCTAAAGGTGCACGGAAGCAGATACGCCGTGCATGTCCAGGCAACCAGGCGCATGCGGCTGAACCCACTCTCAGGCCACACGCAGCGGATGTTCTCGCTGACTGGATATGGCACCGGTGATTGGCTGACCGCGATCCCCATTGAAGCCACGAGACGGATAGGCCCCGTACACTTCGCCAACGCCGTTCGCTTTCGCCTGGCCCTCCCTTTTTCAACCCCTAAGAACTGCGACAGCGCAGACCAGACAGCTATCACTGATCCCCGCCTGCCAAACCATCTCCTCCGCTGCGGCATGGGCAAGCATCGCATTAACACTCACAACGAGCTACGGGATGCGTGCATTAGCATGGTGCAGCACGCATGATTCATAGTTCACGGCGAGGCGGCTGTCCACTGCCCTATCGAGGAACAAACCGCCGACTTCACCTTGACAGATAGAAGCAGTGGGGCGGTTTACGTTTGTGATGTCACCATCACAGATCCCATAAGCACAAGGGACCCAGAGGCGCAGAAAGGCAGGGGATGGGCGGCACGGGAACAAGCGGATAAGAAGATCAAGCATTATGCCAACCGGCCGGAGACGGTTGGCTTTTTCCCACTGGCAGTAGACACCTATGGCTGCCCATGCGCGGAAGTACCAGTCTTCCTAAAGCTACTAGCGGACACAGCGGCTCGGCGCCATTTCAACGCCGACTCTAAATCCTTTTATGCCGCCAAGTTTCTGCACCAGTTTCGGCAGCGATGGTCAGTGGCCCTTCAGAGGGCCCAATCAATGGGTCTTCTACTCAAGTTGGGCGAGGCGGCAGCAGCAGAGAACCCGCCTGTACGGGGTATCGGTCAAGAGTTACACCTAGGGGACTGTTTTGCGGTGGTAGAGCCCTTCTTGGAGCTTTGGGGGAATCGTGAGTAGGAATTGGTGCTTTGTTTGTTACATCCATACTCTGCATGCTTGTACCTTGCTGCTATATCAATACAACGACCATTAGAGAGAGAGAGAGAGAGAGAGAGAGAGAGAGAGAGAGAGAGAGAGAGAGAGAGAGAGAGAGAGAGAGAGAGAGAGAGAGAGAGAGAGAAGAAATTCTTCCGCATTCTAGGCACGAGTGCGGCCAAGAAGAAACACCGCCAAGGGAGGCTCACCACGGTGGCCTCCAGGCTGACTGCGCACTACCGACAGCGCTGGTCGGTAATGCTGCAACGCTGCCAAGCCAACGCCATGTTGGCGAAGTCCAACAGGGCGGCAGAGGCAGCATACCCCCAGGCCTGGGCCGACCCTTGGGAGCGAGGCATGGGGGACATATGGCAGGTCCTAGAGGATGAGGTGGAGGAAGCATGGGACCTGGGAGTCTAGAGGGCTGGAGGGTAGGAGCCGAGGCAAGAACAGGGCTGCCAGATCCACCATGGGTGGGTAGTGAGGGGTGCCTGCGTGCCTAGGTAGCCATGTGCCATGGAATGCAGGAATAGGACAAGCGATGCATGCCAGGGATGCCTATGCTTCTAGGGTTGCGGGTGTGCCAAACCACTCATGCCTTGTTTGTACCCTTTGACCATTATCAATACAGGACTGCTTGAGAGAGAGAGAGAGAGAGAGAGAGAGAGAGAGAGAGAGAGAGAGAGAGAGAGAGAGAGAGAACGAGAGAGAGAGAAAGAGAGAGAGAGAGAACGAGAGAGAGAGAAAGAGAGAACGAGAGAACGAGAGAGAGAGAGAAAGAGAGAGAGAGAACGAGAGAGAGAGAGAACGAGAGAGAGAGAGAAAGAGAGAGAGAGAGAGAGAACGAGAGAGAGAGAGAACGAGAGAGAGAGAGAGAAAGAGAGTAAGAGAACGAGAGAGAGAGAGAGGGAACGAGAGTAAGAGAATGAGAGAGCGAGATCGAGAGAGAGAACGAGAGAGAGAGAACGAGAGAGAGAGAGAGAACAAGACACAGAGAGGGAACGAGAGTAAGAGAACGAGAGAGCGAGAACGAGAGAGAGAGAACGAGAGAGAGAGAACGAGAGAGAGAGAACAAGAGAGAGAGAACAAGAGACAGAGAACGAGAGAGAGAGAGAGAGAGAGAGAGAGAGAGAGAGAGAGAGAGAGAGAGAGAGAGAGAGAGAGAGAGAGAGAGAGAGAGAACGCGAAAGAGAGAACGAGAGAGAGAGAACGAGAGAGAGAGAATGAGAGAGAGAGAGAGAGAGAGAGAGAGAGAGAGAGAGAGAGAGAGAGAGAGAGAACGAGAGAGAGAGAACGAGAGAGTCTGGAAGTTGGTAGTAGACTCCCTTGCATGCCTAGGACGATCAAGCACTTGCCCTTACCATGCCTGTATCCTTATAAACCCATCAATAAAGGACCGCTTGAGAGAGAGAGAGAGAGAGAGAGAGAGAGAGAGAGAGAGAGAGAGAGAGAGAGAGAGAGAGAGAGAGAGAGAGAGAGAGAGAGAGAGAGAGAGATAGAGAGAGAGAGAGAGAGAGAGAGAGAGAACGAGAGAGAGAGAGAGAGAGAGAGAGAGAGAGAGAGAGAGAGAGAGAGAGAGAGAACGAGAGAGAGAGAGAGAACGAGAGAGAGAGAGAACGAGAGAGAACGAACGAGATAGAGAGAACGCGAGAGAGAGAACGAGAGAGAGAGAACGAGAGAGAGAGAACGAGAGAGAGAGAGAGAGAGAGAGAGAGAGAGAGAGAGAGAGAGAGAGTGTGTTCTTGCCTCTGCCCTCTACCCTCAGCCCTCTGCCCTCTCCTACTCCAGCTATATAAGGGGCCTTTTTGGCCTCTCTTCTTCATTGTGTGGCGGCATAATATTTTTCGCTCGTTCGAGAGAGCGAGAGAGAGAGAGAGAGAGTGTTCTTGCCTCTGCCCTCTACCCTCAGCCCTCTGCCCTCTCCTACTCCAGCTATATAAGGGGCCTTTTTGGCCTCTCTTCTTCATTGTGTGGCGGCAGAATATTTTTCGCTCGTTCGAGAGAGCGAGAGAGAGAGAGAGAGAGTGTTCTTGCCTCTGCCCTCTACCCTCAGCCCTCTGCCCTCTCCTACTCCAGCTATATAAGGGGCCTTTTTGGCCTCTCTTCTTCATTGTGTGGCGGCAGAATATTTTTTCGCTCGCGCCGGCCGCCTACGGCCGCGCGTGAGGGGTGGCAAGCGCAAGCACAAGCAAGTGACACTAAGCAAGGACATACAGGCAATGGCGGTTCCTACAATAACCTAGACAAACATGGCATCAATGGGGCAATCGGAGCCCGCGACTACATGCGGTGAGCTCCAAGGGCGTGAAGAACGCCCGTCAGGGTGCGCCACAGCTCCCGGACCACAAGCGTGCTCGCGCCGATCGCCGCGGCTCCAGATCCTGCGCGCAAGTGCCGCCTCAAGCCCCGGACAGCCTCGTCAAGCTGTCCCGCAGCAGCAGCGCCACCCTCCGCGGGCGCAGCCAACACGGGCGCCAGCAACGCTGCGAGCTGGTCCGCCGCGTCCAAGCACGTGTCACGCTGGCGGCCGCGGAAAGTCTCAGGAGGAATCACGAGGAGGGACGAGTGAGAAAGTATTTGAATCAGCAGCAACGCGTGGAGACTCTCCGCGAGTCGGTGGAGCTGGCCAAGTGTCGCCTCAGGAACACGCGTCTGCGGAGGCTGAAGTGCCTCCGTCAGGAACAGAAGCGGCTCTTCCGCAGCAACATGGTGAGAATACTGCGCCGACGAGCCACCACCCGCAGCAACAAACTCCACTCCCGCAACAGGCGGAACCGGCGGCAGATGAAGACGGGAACCGGGGGGAGGTGCCGAGGCGGCGGGAGCAGGAGCCGGCGGGAAGTGAACCGGAGGCGGGGGTGCGGCGACAGGCGGCGGACTCACGGGGAGCACAGCCTGTCGAGGAACCTCAAGGGCGGGCGAGGCGCGCATCGAACTACTCTGGCTCTGCGCCGCCCTCTCCTCACGCACCGCCCTCGAGACTTCCCGCTGTAGGTCCGCCATCGTCACAGGCGGGCGGTACCCCCCACCACCGCCACGCCCGCGGTGACCCCTCCAGTCCCCCTGACCGCCGGGTTGGGCAGGCCAGTGAGTTTGCTGTTGGTAGCGCCGTGGAGAGTCTCGCCGGCGCCGAGACGTCGCGCGCTCCTGATGGTGCGCGGGGGAATGGGTGCGAGAAGGGCGGCGGTCAGGCGACGGGGGGCGTGACGGCTGACCTGCCAGGGCCGCCGGTATCGCCGCAGGCGCAGACTGGCCCGCCGCTGGGGGCGCAACCGACGGAGCCGGGCCGCCAGTGGTGGCGGACGCCGCCTTCGGCGACGAAACAGAAGCCGGAATAGGCGCGTCGGGGACAGAAGCAGGCGGTGCAACGGGCGCGCCAGGGAGAAGAACCGGGGGATCAGCAACACCCCGCGAACATTTCCTGCCAATTCAGTACGGCGTGGCAGTGCCAGGCGGAGCAGAGGCGGTAATCCACGCAGCCAGGGCATTTTTGGATGCCCGTCCCGACAGCGTGGTCCTCCAAGCCGATATTTCGAATGCATTCAACAGCATTTCGCGACATGCCATCGCTACTGCGTTACAGGAGCCCGGACTCTCGCCACTGCAGCCATTTGTAAAGCTGACGTACGGTAACCCGTCGCAGCTGCTCCTGGACGCCGATTTCAACTGCGAACCGCTGCAAAGTGAACGGGGCGTTCGGCAGGGAGACCCTCTAGGCCCGTTACTGTTCGCAGCGGGAATACACCCCACGCTCTGTGAGATTGCAGAGGCACACCCCAACGTGCTCTGCTTGGCGTATGCGGACGATGTCACCTTCCTTGGTGACACCTCGTGCACTGTAGCAGCTTTCACAGACTTCACAGCCAAGCTGGCACGACTGGGCCTGACGCATAATCCCCAGAAATGTGCGGCCTGGAGCTCGATCACAGTCACATAGGGGGCCTATCCGCTTGTTCTCGTGCCGCCCATCCCCTGCCTTTCTGCGCCTCTGGGTCCCTCGTGCTTATGGGGTCTGTGATGGTGACATCACAGACATAAACCGCCCCACTGCTTCTATCTGTCAAGGTGAAGTCGGCGGTTTGTTCCTCGATAGGGCAATGGACGGCCGACTCGCCGTGAACAATGAAACCTGCATACTGCGCCATGCTAATGCACGCATCCCATAGCTCGTTGTGGGTGTTGATGCGGTATTTGCCCATGCCGCAGCGGAGGAGATGGCTCGGCAGGCGGGGATCCGTGATGGCGGTCTTGTCCGCGCAGTCGCAGTCCTTAGGGGTTGAAAAGGGGAGGGCCAGGCGGAATCGAACGGCGTTGGCGAAGTGTACGGGGCCTATCCGTCTCGTGGATTCAATGGGGATCGCGGTCAGCCAATCGCCGGTGCCATATCCAGTCAGCAAGAACATACGCTGCGTGTGGCCTGAGAGTGGGTTCAGCCGCATGCGCCTGGTTGCCCGGACCTGAACGTCGTATCTGCTTCCGTGCACCTTTAGCCCGAGCACATGTTGTAGCCTAATATCCGATCGCTCCAGCCGCTCCTTCTCCAGGATCTCGCGCGCGTCTAGTGGCAGGGCCGCTTCGCACTCCTTGAGCCATGAGTGCATCGGCGTGCTGTCGTCTCTTGGCAGCAGCATGTGGTTCTGAGCGATCGTCAAAGCATTCTCCGGTTCTAGCGCCAGGGAGGACAGGAATAGCGCCGCTTGAGTGAAACTCGCTGTGAAACCGTAGACCCCTTCTATGAGCGGGTCTGTAATGCCGATGCCACCCAGCGACGTGGGCAGCGACGCCTGCTCCCACACACGCGCTTGCTCGGTGCGGCACGTTGGCATGCGGATGTTGCAGGAGGTGAGTAAGGTAGTGAGCAGGTCCCGACCCCACTGGCTCCAGGTGTCGCGGGGGAGTAGGTGGAGCGGTGTCGTTCTTATGAGGTAGGCTACTCGTCTAGAAATGCATCGCGTGAGGAGCAGCGCGGCTACTTGGGGGTCAGCACGTTCTATAAGTGGCAGTGGCTTTGTCATCTCGGCTAGCTGTTCGGATAGGAACTTAGCTGCTCCGGCGTCCGTCCCCACGTAGCTACCCAGAAGCCGTACTCCGTCCTTTGAAACCGGCACCCCGGGTGGGAGTTGTGCTTGTGTGACTGTGATCGAGCTCCAGGCCGCACATTTCTGGGGATTATGCGTCAGGCCCAGTCGTGCCAGCTTGGCTGTGAAGTCTGTGAAAGCTGCTACAGTGCACGAGGTGTCACCAAGGAAGGTGACATCGTCCGCATACGCCAAGCAGAGCACGTTGGGGTGTGCCTCTGCAATCTCACAGAGCGTGGGGTGTATTCCCGCTGCGAACAGTAACGGGCCTAGAGGGTCTCCCTGCCGAACGCCCCGTTCACTTTGCAGCGGTCCGCAGTTGAAATCGGCGTCCAGGAGCAGCTGCGACGGGTTACCGTAGGTCAGCTTTACAAATGGCTGCAGTGGCGAGAGTCCGGGCTCCTGTAACGCAGTAGCGATGGCATGTCGCGAAATGCTGTTGAATGCATTCGAAATATCGGCTTGGAGGACCACGCTGTCGGGACGGGCATCCAAAAATGCCCTGGCTGCGTGGATTACCGCCTCTGCTCCGCCTGGCACTGCCACGCCGTACTGAATTGGCAGGAAATGTTCGCGGGCAGCTTCACCCATGGCATCACACATAGAGGCCTAGAATGGCGGGAACAGAGATGGGGGAGCCCGCAACTACATGCGGTGAGCTCCAAGGGCGTGAAGAACGCCCGTCAGGGAGCGCCACAGCTCCCGGACCACAAGCGTGCTTGCGCCGATCGCCGCGGCTCCAGATCCTGCGCGTAAATGCCGCCTCAGGCCCCGGACAGCCTCGTCAAGCTGTCCTGCAGCAGCAGCGCCACCCTCCGCGGGCGCAGCCAACACGGGCGCCAGCAACGAAGCGAGCTGGTCCGTCGCGTCCATACACGTGTCACGCTGGCGGCCGCGGAAAGTCTCCGGAGGAATCACGGGGAGAGACGAATGAGCGAGAACTTGAATCAGCAGCAACGCGTGGAGGCTCTCCGCGAGACGGTGGAGCCGGCCTAGTGTCGCCTCTGGAACACGCGTCTGCGGGGGCTGCAGCGCCTCCGTCAGAAACAGCAGCGGCTCATCAGCAGCAACGTGGTGGGAATGCCGAGCCGCAGCGCCACCCCCCGCAGCAACAAACTCCACCCCCGCAACAGGCGGAACCGGTGGCAAATGCAGACGAGAGCCGGGAGCAGGCGCCGAGACAGAAGGAGAAAGAGCCGATGGGGCGAGGACAGGAGGAGGAAATGCAGCAGCTGGCGGAGGGGCCACAGGAGGCTCAGCCAGACGAGGAGCCACGGGCGCAGGCACGGCCCGCAGCGAACTGGTCTGACTCTGCGCCGCCCTCTCCTCGCGCACGGCCCGTGACACCTCCCGCTGGAGATCCGCCATTGTCACAGGCGGACGGAATCTCCCGCCACCACCACGCCCATGGGGGCCCCTCCAGCCCCCATTGCCACCAGGGTGAGCAGGCCACTGGGCCTGCTGCTGGTAGCGCCGGGGAGAGTTGCGCCGACGCTGCGACGACTCGCGCTCCTGCTGGGGTGCAGGAGAATGGGGGCGTGATAGTCGGCGGTCCGGCGACGGGGGACGACTCGGCTGCACTGCAGGGGCCGCCGGCAGCGGAGCGGGAGCAGGCTGGTCCACGCCCGGTGGCGCAACCATCGGAGCCGGGCCGACAGTGGTGGCGGACGCCGCCTTCGGGGAAGAAACAGACGCCGGCGCAAGCCCGCCGGGGACAGAAACGGCAGGTGCAACGGGGGCGCCAAGGACAGGGACAGGGGGAACAGCAACTCCCCCAGCAGGAGCAGGCGCCGCCGGCGCAACAACGGGAGCAGGGGGAACAGGAGCGACAGGCGGAGCAGGAGGAGCAACAACCGGGGCAGACGGACCAGCCTCGCCCACGTCATGGGGACCCGCGGATACGAGGGGAAGAGTCTTTTCAGCGCCTATTGTCACGGGCTTCGGAACAGACGGCGGCGGGGACCCCGTCGCCGTGGTCCCCGCTACGGAGGCAGACGACGGCTTTTCGAACGCAACCGACGCAGCGCCAGCGCGCATTGGCGAGTAATCGGTCTCTCCAGCAATCACCATCGCGAGGCCGAGGAGCGCGAGGCGGAGGGCGAGAAGCGGCTAGCGGACAAGGAGGAGGACCGGAGAACGGCTATCAGTCGGAGGCGCGTAGGGCTTTAACCAGGCTAGATAATGAGGATGACGAAAGAAGGGACCCCTCTTATAGGGAGGAGCCCATGCCTGCGAGCGAAGACGAAGGGACGGAAGGAGAGGATGGAATAAGGGAGAACGCGGGGAGGACGGGAGCAGGACCAAGGCAGTCCCGTGGCGAGCAAAGGGACCCGGCTCGTGGACCGTCCGATGCCGATCGTGCGGGCGAGATTCCAACCTCACCACCACAAGCGAGGACGAGCCGCGCTAGGTGAAATCGAGCCGCGACAGACACGGCTGCGGGGCGAGAAAATTCCAATTTCCCCCGCTATTTCTCGCCAGAGGAACTGGCGATGCGGGCAGACTGGTTCGCGGACATCGCGAACTGGAATATCCCTGCCCTCTGCGACAGTCGGCAGCCAGCCCTGGCACGGCGGTTACCGCCAAACTTGTGTCACTTGTTTTCGCTGGCGCTACTGACTCCGTTACACCACCTGTCACGAAACCCGGAATCCGAGGCTGGTTGGCGCCTTCTCCTCTTTCTCCCGCGTCTGACGCTTCGCCAAAACTCGCCACAGAGACCGAACTGGCCCCAGATCAAGGCCCGGCTCCGAGCCTTCCAGCGTGGCAAATGGGACCTACTGTACAGGGAGGCGATTGACGCAGTCAACACACCCGCGCCACCACGTCATCAACCCGATGCTACCGGGGTCATTAGCCGAGCCGAGGGCTTGACGAAAAGGGGCAGTCTGCGCCGAGCCGTGTTGGCGTTAGAGTCAACGCCAGTCTGCAAACCGAATCCAGAAATACTGGACGAGCTCCGACAGAAACATCCAAGAGCCGAACCAGGGACGACAACGTGGCCACCCAGACGAGAGTCAGAATTGTCCATCACCCACGCGGACTTCGCCAAACTGCTGGGGAGGTGCGAGAACGGGGTCGGTGCCGGACCTTCGGGGACAAATTTCGAGCACATGCGCGACGCGGCAATCACGAACGGACGAGTCAGCACCCATCTGCACGCATTGATAAACACCATTCTGGGGGGCAACCTTCCAGGACCGGTGGCGGACCTACTGACAGCCTCGCGACTCATAGCCCTAGCCAAACCTGGTGGGGGTGCTCGACCAATTGCCATCGGCGAGTGCATCACCCGGCTGACAGCCAAGGCAGCCCTCGCAGCCATGGGCGATGCTGCACGTGACTACTTCCTGCCTCTACAGTATGGGGTGGCTGTGCCAGGGGGAGCCGAGGCAGTTATCCACGTGGCACGGGCGTATCTGGACAAGCTACCCAACAGCCTGGTACTGCAGACCGACATCTCGAATGCCTTCAACAGCATCTCTCGACAAGCCATCGCGACGGCGTTACAGGAGCCCGGGCTTTCGCCACTAGTGCCGCTGGTGAAACTAACCTACGGTAACCCGTCCAAGTTGCATCTCGACGCCAATTTCGAATGCGACCCACTGACCAGCGAACGGGGCGTACGGCAAGGCGACCCACTTGGCCCTTTATTGTTTGCGGCGGGAATACACCCAGCTCTTTGCGACACTGCCGAGGCATATCCCCACGTGCTTTGTCTGGCCTACGCAGACGATGTCACATTCCTTGGGAATGCGGCCGACACTGTAGCTGCATTCAATCATTTCACCGAGAGTCTGGCGCACCTGGGGCTAACACACAACGCACAGAAATGTGCAGCCTGGAGCAGGGAAGCAGCAGTGAAGGACCAGCTTCCGCAGGGAGTCCCTTTTTCCCAGAACGGCGTGCGCTTGCTTGGAATCTTCGTGGATCCAGACAGCGGGGCGTCGCAGTTCCTGTCGGGTCAGCTACGGGAAATGGCAAAACCTTTGCCACTCCTTGAGAAAGCCGACCCCCAGGTAGCATCACTATTGCTCACCCGCTGTATCTCGAGGCGGGTGGCATACCTCACCAGAACGACGCCGCTCCACCTTCTGCCTCACGACACCTGGAGTCAGTGGGGGATGGATCTGCTTACAGCGCTACTGACAGCATGCAGCATCCGTGTTCCCACCTGCCGCGCTGAACAAGCCCGCGTCTGGGCGCAGGCGTCACTGCCGCCGTCATTGGGGGGGATAGGCATTTCTGACCCCCTAATCGAGGGAGTGTACGGTTACGCGGCGAGCTTCACACAGGCCGCGCTCTTTCTAGCATCACTTGAAGACGCCCCTGATGGCGCGCTGACGCAGGCCCGGGACCACATGCTGCTGCCTGCAGACGTCGCCACGCCTCTCCACGCGTGGCTTTCGGAGTGCGAAGCGGCTTTACCAGTTGACGCTCGGGAGATCTTGGAGAAAGAGCGGCTGGAGCTATCAGACACCAGACTCCAGCACGCATTGGCACTGCGGGTACATGGGAGCAGATATGCCGTTCAGGTCAATGAGACACGACGGATGGCACTGAACCCCCTGTGCGGACACACTCAGCGGATGTACTCACTGACAGGTTATGGGACCGGGGACTGGCTGACGGCTATCCCCATTGCGGCAAACAGGAGGATAGGGCCCACCCACTTCTCTAACGCCGTGCGCTTCCGGCTGGCCCTCCCTTTCTCCACACCGAAAAACTGCGACTGCGCAGACCATACTGCCATCACGGACCCCCGCCTCCCTAACCACCTACTCCGCTGCGGCACGGGCAAGCACCGCATCAACACCCATAACGAGCTGCGCGATGCCTGCATTAGCATGGCCCAAGACGCGGGATTCATTGTCCACAGCGAGTCATCGGCGCACTGCCCCATTGAGGAACAGACCGCTGATTTTACAATGACGGACAGAAGCAGCGGTGCGGTCTACGTGTGCGACGTCACTATTACCGATCCTATTAGCACTAGGGACCCAGAGGCGCAGAAGGGCAGGGGCTGGGCGGCACGGGAGCAGGCGGACAAGAAGATCCAGCACTACGCCGCCCTGCCAGAGACGGTGAATTTCTTCCCTCTGGCGGTAGACACCTACGGCTGCCCTTGCGCGGAGGTGCCAGTTTTCCTGAAACTCCTGGCGGACACTGCAGCTCGGCGCCACTTCAACGCCGACTCCAAATCATTCTATGCTGCAAAGTTCCTGCACCAGTTCAGGCAACGTTGGTTAGTGGCCCTCCAAAGGGCCCAATCTGTGGGCCTCTTGCTCAAACTTGGGGAGGCTGCGGCGGTAGAGAACCCGCCTGTGGGAGGGATTGGAGACGAGTTGCACCTTGGGGACTGCTTTGCAGTTATTGAGCCCCTAGTGGATTTGTAGATTTGTGGTGCTTGTGCCCTGCATGTTAGCTATCTATGCCTCAACGACCTGCATGCTTGTACTTGGCTGCTATATCAATACAAGGACCATTAGAGAGAGAGAGAGAGGCACTAGGAACTTAGTCCTTAGCCTCCCACACCTCTCTAGCCCCTCATAGCTTAGCATAGCCTAATGTTCCCTAGTATAGGCTTAGGTTCCCAACTCATGGGCTTAGCATATCCTGGTATGTGCCTTGTAAGGAGTACATCACCCTACAAAAAGCCCAAGTGCCCTCCCCCATCTCATTAGTTCCTGGTGAGCTGGTTTCCTCCCAACCCAGCGGCTCGCGCCGGCCGCCTTTGGCAGCCGACGCTCGACAGCGCGGCCTTCGGCCGCGCGAGAGGGTTGGCAAGAACACAAAGGGTTTTGGGGCAAGAAGCACTATAATATGGAGCGGTACAACACGGGGCGCTAACAGCGGAGAACAAAACAAGCCCGGACGGCCAAGCATGGCTGCGAGGGAAAAGGGGAAAGGGACGCAAGGGGGGGGGCGCAAAAAAGAATACCGCTACACCCGGTTCAGAAGGTAAACCCGCCAACGCAGCCACCGGAGCACTGACGCGAGTGCAGGCACGAGCCCAAGGGGCGCCTCTTCAGCTGCCGTGGCTACCCACCGGAAACACGTCGCACCCGGGCTCTCATTCCCGGCGGGAGACTCACTCTTCAGCGGCAGGTGCAGGAGGGACCACAAGCACTGGGCGGCAGCAGCACAAACCACACCCTGCTGCATCTCATCGAGCTAGGGATCACGCGCGGCGACGGGCCGGCTCTGCAGCCCAGCATGCAGCTGATCAAGCACGGTCGCGAGGAGAGAGAGGCACTCCCCAACATCTGACAAGCGCCGCTCCCAACGGACTATATCAGCTACGATCGGAGTGTCTGCAGCCCACCGACCCATTGAAGATCCAGGCTCAACAGAGGCGGTCCAAGAATCCCGCTCCAGCCACCACCCCTCCGGCGGGTCAGGAGCATCCCCCGGAAGACCAGGAGAAGGAGAGCGGTGGCGAAACCGCGGCACCTGGGGCAATACAGGTGGAGAGGGAGGACGCTGTCGCTGCGGCCCCTGGTCCCCAGCAGAGGCCGGGGGAGCGGCAGGAACGGGAGAGACCACGGGAGGGTCCGAGCACGGCGCCGAGGGAGGAAGCTGAGACAGCGGCGGCGCCGGAGGCTGGGGAACCGCCGAGGACGGAGTGGACGAGGACGGCGGTGGCGGGGGGGCCAGAAGGGACGCCCACGTCGGCGGCAGGTGTGGCGCTGGCGCCGAACTCGGACCCGACGACACAGACGGCGCCATCGACGGGGAGGGCAACGGGGGCGCCGAAGCAGACGAGGGCTGCTGCAGCGACGAGGAGGCTTGGGGCGGCGGCGGATAAACCGCGGAGGCGGCGGAGGCTGTAGCGGAGGCTGCGAGTGAAGTGCCAGTGGCACCTGAGGCTGCGGGGCCTGGGCCAGAGACCGCGCAGACTACGAGACAAGAGACTGGCCTCGGGCCCTTAGATAGGGATGGGTCCGCCCATGGGGAGAACGATAAATCGGCTCACGAGGTGCGGGAGGGATGCCATGCGCCTGGTAAGAACCGCCGCCCGCAGCGGCCGCAACAACATCAGCGGCGGCTCGGAGTAGGGCTGGCACCTGCCCAACCTGGGCCTCTGGTAGGGTGGACGCAGCAGGAGGACTCGCCCCAGGCAGTCGCCGGTGCGGAGGATAGCGCCGACCTGCCATCAACACACCGCTGCGAGAGAATGGCAGAAGCCGTGGAAGAGGAGGCGCTGGACGAGAGGGAGAGGGCGGCCGAAGACGCGGCGGAAGACGCGGCGGAGAGAAGAGCCGAGACAAGACAGAGCCACCACCGAGGGGAAACAAGCCGTCAGCAGGCCCTGCGGGAGCAGGCCAACCAGCGTGCGGCAGGCCGACCGCTGCAAAACGCGGCGCCTGAAGCGGCAACAAGGGGAACGCGAAGGAGGGGCCGAGGCAGAGAAGGAGGCCTGGGGAACCTGGTGCGAGCAGTGGCGAGGGAAAAAGCCAGATCCGGGGACTGGCGGGAAAGACACGGAAGGCCAGAACGGACTGACACGCGACAGAATGCTACCCCAATTAATGAAGGGGAGGAGGGTAGCGACGAAGAATATATCGAATCAGAGGAGGGAGACTCAGAGGATATCTCCCTGGAGGCATAAGAGGGGGTCCCGAACACCGGCACAAACCAGGGGCAGAGGAGAGCGCGGTATGTACAACCCGCACAACCTGCATAGGAGGCCGAATCAAGTGTTCACACTAGCACGAGGACAGCCAACGAAGAACGCTCAGCGTCAGATATTGCAGATGACGAGGCCACGTGTCAGAGGCTGAAGGAGTGGGACCTGTCACCCCTACGCAACGACACCCAACCTTTCCTGGTGCGGAAGCTTCCTCCCAACATTTTGGGAATCTTCAGCTACTGCCTCACAATCCCCTTGCTGCGACTTGCCAAGAAACCAACCTGCCTGGGAGCCTGGCGAATGTTGCTATTTCTGCCGCGACTCACACTCCGAGCCAACATTGGGAAAGTACCCGGAAACAAGTGGAGCGAGGTGGCGACAAGACTGGACCAGTTCAAGCTGGAGAAGTGAGACCTCCTGTACTCCCAGGCCTGCACCATACCCCAGAACTCACAACCGAGCCGTCATCAGCCAGACCCGGAAGGAATCTGTGCGAGGGCTGAGGGACTGGTTCGCAAAGCGAATCTGGCAAAAGTGGTAGCAGCGTTACAAACATCGCCACTCGCAAAACCCTCACAGGAGACCCTGGAAGCACTAAAGGCGAAGCACCCAGAGGCGGGGAACGAAATCCCAAACTGGGTAACGGGATTTGCCTCAAGCAACCTGTCGACGTCGGCGGAAACCTTTCGTGAGGTGCTAACGAAATGCCCCAACGGAATCGGAGCTGGACCTTCAGGCACATGCTTCGAGCATCTACGAGACACCGCTCTGACAAACGGCGAAGTATTCACATACCTGGACGGCGTCGTCAACTACGTCCTAAGCACCCACCTGCCTGCGGATCTGACAGAACTCTTGCTACCGTCTAGGCTGATAGCCCTGGAGAAACCAGACGGAGGCGTCAGACCCATAGCCATAGGAGAAGCGATATTACGACTCACAGCTAAGGCAGCGTTAAGGGAGCTGAGCGCGCCCATCAGAGAATACTTGTTACCGGTGCAATTCGGAGTAGCAGTACCTGGAGGAGTAGAGTGTATTATCCACATGGTCCGGGCGCTCTTAATCGAGGACCCAAAACGAATGGCGCTGCAGCTAGATATCGAAAATGCCTTTAACTCGGTCGAACGGCCTGGTTTCTTCGAGTCACTGCATTTCTCGGGACTTAGCCGAATTATACCACTGGTTCGTACACTCTACGGCACGCCCTCCCACATGCTGCTGGATCAAGGCTTCGCGGCACCGCACATTGACAGCACACGCGGGGTCAGCCAAGGAGACCCGTTAGGACCAATGCTATTCGCAGCAGCCATCCAACCGGCACTCCAGGTGGCAGCCGACATGCTTCCGACTATCACGATCATGGCCTACGCTGACGATATCACGATCGTGGGAACTGCACCCGAGGCCTCACTAGCACTAGGTATAATCACCAGACACCTAACCAGCCGCGGCCTTAGGTGCAACCTCACGAAGTCATCAGCGTGGAGCCCATCAGGCATACCCGACGACCTACCCGACAGCCTGGTGGCAGCGGTGGACGGCATCCGAGTCTTGGGGAGCCCGATTGGGACCAGGGATTACGGGAGGTGCATGATCACTACGTACCTGGAATCGGTGGCGACACCGCTAGACCTGATCGGCAGCATCCACCCACAACATGCGCTACTCCTGCTGTCACGCTGCATCTCATGGCGCATTTCGTACCTGCTCCGCACAACACCGGTGGATACGCTGCCATTAGAAGAGTGGCGGGACTGGAGTGAGGGACTGGTATGGACAGCACTAAGGGCGGCACACCTACACGTGCCAAGAAAGGAAATCGAGCAGAGCCTGGTGTGGAGGCAGGCAACCCTGCCGGTGTGCCTAGGCGGCCTGGGCCTGATAGATCCGGTCTCGGAGGCGCCGGCAGCATACCTAGCATCCTTATGCGCGGCCCACTCCCTACTGAGCGGCATCCCCGAGCACCCAGACCACCCACTGAAGCGGGCTGCACACCTTGTGTCACCGGAAAGCACTGTGGGGGCAGAACAGGGAGGGGAGACCCTACGGGACCTCAAGAGCAAGCTGCCAGAGAGCGCACTAGAACTCCTGCACGAGCATCACCGCCAGAGGGGGGGGAAGGGGCGGCTGCAGCTAGGATTATCGCGTCATGTCAACCTGGACAGAGCAGCGGCACTGATAGGGGACACACGGATTGATAAGCCAGGAGTGGACAACGGGCATGTGGTGCGCCTCATAGCCCTGCAGGCGCTAGGGGCGGGAGACTGGCTACACGCCATACCCACGCGATCGGACCTCACCTTCTCACCCGGGAAATGCGCCATAGCCCTCGGCTTCAGGCTTGGCCTCACCCTGGCAGTCACAGAGCACTGCCCCTGCCGCGGCAAACGCTCCAATATAGCAGATCTAAGCCTGCCTAATCACCTACTGAGATGCGCGGACGGAGGGGACCGCACCAACACCCACAACGCGCTACGCATGGCACGTGAGGCGGATTTCAACACCTTGCACGAGACGACAGCCCTTTCGCCCCCTGTCAACCCTAAATGGGCGGACCTGGCCATCCGTGACAAGGAGTCTGGTGAAACCTACCTCACAGACGTGACGGTGACCGACCCAGTGCTGCAAAGGCGGGACACCCGGGGCAGGAAAGCACCAGGGTGGGCAGCTGAGGACGCGGCCAGGACTAAAAGGGGACTATACGAAGAGCGCCCACAGTATGCAAGGGTCCTGGGATTGGCAGTGGAGAACTATGGGGGACTAGCGAAGGACACTCAGAAGTTCTTCCGAATTCTGGGCACGAGCGCGGCCAAGAAGAAGCACCGCCAAGGGAGGCTCACCATGGTCGCCTCCAGGCTGACCGCGCACTACCGACAACGCTGGTCGGTAATGCTGCAACGCTGCCAAGCCAATGCCCTGCTGGCGAAGTCCAACAGGGCGGCAGAGGCAGCATATCCCCAGGCATGGGCCGACCCTTGGGAGCCAGGCCTGGGGGACATATGGCAGGTCCTGGGGGATGAGGTGGAGGAAGAGTGGGACCTGGGAGTATAGAGGGCTGGAAGGTAGTAGCTGGAGCAAGAACAAGGCTGGATGGGCCACCGATGATGTGTAGTAGGGGTTGCTTGCATGCCTAGGCTGCCATGTGTCAGGGGGAGCAGAGATAGGACAAGCAATGCATGCTAGGGTGGCCATTTTTCTAGGATAGCGTGTTGGCAGAACTACCCATGCCTTGTTTGTACCCTATGAATCATATCAATGCAGGACTGCTTGAGAGAGAGAGAGAGAGAGAGAGAGAGAGAGAGAGAGAGAGAGAGAGAGAGAGAGAGAGAGAGAGAGAGAGAGAGAGGTTCCCGGCCTTATAGACACAGAGGTTCCCCCCTGTGTACCGTTCCTACCTTACTTGTCTTGCATGTCTCAGCCCCCCCCTTGCTAGCTTGCTACTATAGACCTCATGTTGCTTGCTTATCCTCCCTAGTATGTCCTTGGATACACCACCTGCCATGCATGTATCTCCTTATACATCAATGAAGGACTGCTTGAGAGAGAGAGAGAGAGGATCCTAGCCTCTGCCCTCTCCCTTTAGCCCTCTGCCCTCTCCTTTGTGAGCTATATAAGAGGCCTCTCTGGGCCTCTTCATCTCATTGTTCTGTGTGGTGCAGAATTTTTTGCTCGTTCGAGAGAGCGAGAGAGAGAGAGAGGATCCTAGCCTCTGCCCTCTCCCTTTAGCCCTCTGCCCTCTCCTTTGTGAGCTATATAAGAGGCCTCTGTGGGCCTCTTCATCTCATTGTTCTGTGTGGTGCAGATTTTTTCGCTCGTGCCGGCCGCCTACGGCGGCCGACACTCGACAGCACGGCCTTCGGCCGCGCGAGAGGGGTGGCAAGCGATCACACATACGAGTGACTATAGGCAACAACATACAAGCAATGGCAGCATCCACAACCGCCTAAGCAACAATGGCAACAACGGGGCAAGCGGAGTCTGAATCTACATCCGGTGAGCTCCGAGGGCATGGAGAATGCCCGTCAACGTCCGCCACAGCTCACAGACCACCAGCGTACTTGCGCCAATCGCGGCGGCTCCAGAACCTGCGCGCAAGTGTCGCCTCAATCCACGGACAGCCTCGTCAAGCTGTCCCACAGCCGCAGCGCCACCCTCGGCGGGCGCAACCAACGCGGGCGCCAGCAGCAGTGCGAGCTGGTCCGCCGCGTCCAGGCAAGTCTCACGCGGCCGGTCATGAAAAGAGTCAGCAGGGATCGCAGGGAGGGACGAGTGAGCCAACACCTGAATTAGCAGCAGCGCGTGAAGGCTCTCTGCAAGACGGTGCAGCTGGCCGAGATTCGCCTCAGGAACACGAGTCTGCGGGGGTTGAAGTGCCTCCGCCAAGAACGGAAGCGGCTCATCAGCAGCAAGATAATGAGGGTACTGCGCCCTCGCCGCTCCTCCTCCCGCGGTCACAAACTCTACACCCGCCACCGGCGGAACGGGCGGCAGACGAAGACGAGTCCCAGGAGCAGGTGCCGAGGCAGCAGGAGCAGGAACCGATGAGGCAGGGACAGGAGGAGGAAGAGCAGCAGCTGGCGGAGGATCAATGGGGAGCACAGCCTGACGTGGAGCCTCATGGGCTGGCGAGGCACGCACTGAACAACTCTGGCTCTGCGCCGCCCTCTCCTCGCGCACTGCCTTCGACACTTCCCGCTGAAGATCCGCCATCGTCACGGGCGGGCGGTACGCCCCACCATTACCGCGCCCGTGGGGACCCCTCCAGCCCCCATGACCGCCGGGGTGAGCAGGCCAGTGAGCCTGCTGATGGTAGCGCCGCGGAGAATCGCGCCGGCGCCGTGACGACTCGCGCTCCTGGTGGACCGCGGGGGAATGGGGGCGAGATAGGCGGCGGTCAGGCGACGGGGGGCGCGGCGGCTGGCCCGCCGGGGCCATCGGCATCACAACAGGCGCGGGCTAGCCCGCCGCCGAGGGCGCAACCAATGGAGCCAGGCCGCCAGTGGTGGCGGACGCCGCCTGCGGGGACGAACCAACAGCCGCGTCGAGTGCAAC